TCTTAAATAAAAAGGTGGGGTAGAGGTACTTTTTTAAAAAGATCTTATTTGCTCTCAAACAGCTTATTTTAAGAAAACTTAAGATTTTTTTTTTAAATTTACCAAACACTTTGGAAGAGCTTATAAGCTCTAAAACATCTTATAAGCTCCTTTTAACATCTTATAAGCTTAGCCAAACACCCTCTGAGTCATGACTAATCTCCCCAACCAAACGAGGCCTTAAAAATCATTTGGATCTTACTTCTTTCATCATCCTCAAAATTTTCCTGAAATTTCTAATTAGCGATTGCTTCTTTTTCTTTATATGCTGGAGCACAATCTAATCATTGTTCACGTCTTTGCTTTCATGGATGTCTTATTCTCGTCTTTTTGGTATTCATCGTTTGCAGTCATTTGTTGCTTGGTAGATGGTTCGGTTGTTAATCTCAATACCTCTGGCTCTGTCGTATGGAAGGTACGCAATCAGCAATCAGTTATCTGCTTTCAAATAAATCTCGATTTCGGATTCTCGTATAATTTCAGTCAATCTCTTTTCTTCATATTTTCCTCGTTTCTGTAACAGGTCAAAACCGGTGGGCCAATTTTCGCTGGACCTTGCGCATCTCGAGCATTACCTTCCGAGGTCAACTCCTTTGACCTATAAGCTCTGAATAAACAATCACAAGATTTGGTAATATATATATCATTTTAATTGCTGTACCTACTTACATCTCATGCAGGTACTCGTGTGCTCCAGAGATGGAAGCATCTATTCCTTCGAAACGGTGAGATTAATTTCTCTCCAATATATGATTTTATCTTCAAAAATCAGTTCTTAGTCACGTCCACAATCTAATCGTTAAAGATCTCCGACAATTTCGATTTCAATATGATATTTAATTACAGGAAACGGGTAACCTAATCTGGAAGCATTCAATCGGAAATCCAATTACTTCTTCTCCTTATGTAGACGACAACTCCCCTATTTCAGACAGGTAATACTACGGAGAATTTCGTAATCGTAAAGCCACGTTATAAGGACCTCTACACACACACACACAAACACAAATTAAAAAAAAAAGAAAAAAAAAAAAACCGTAATCCTAGTCCTTCGTTTCAGGTTAATATGTGTATGCGACAGTTCTGGTAGTATTTACGTATTAAGAGTCGACTTGAATGCTATTGGGGATTCGGAACAAAATACGGAAAATACGGTACGAGAATTTGCTCGATTAGACCTACAAGGAGATATCTTCTCTTCTCCAGTGATGATTGGGGGCAGGATTTTTGTGGGTTGCAGAGATAACCATGTGTATTCTATTGCCCTTGATCTCGAATAATGGTATAAAGCCTCGTTGGATTAGTAGGATTCGTCGTGATTAATTAAATAATTAATTCTTATTTGATATTCAGTTGGTTTAAAAAAAAATTAAGGCAAACTTATCTTGATCCAAGTATACAATTAATGAAAGTTTAGTAGGATTGGACGATTAACGAACCAAGCTTGAATATATATTATTGTTTGATAATGTACGAAGTTCGAGATCGAGCTCGATTAGTGATAAATGAAAAATAAGCTCATTAGAGCTTGATTCGCGTTCGGCTCGATCAACTATTGATCGATTGTTGTTCAAAGTTATGTTTTCGATCATCAATTGCTAATATATATATTCTAAATTGACGAACGAACAAAACAAGAACTAATATTCAAAACCCTAATTCTCTTGTTCAAATCGAACAAACCTCCATAGTCCGCAATCCTTGTTCAATATTCAAAACCCTAATTCTCTTACTCGTAAGCCATGGAGGTTTATTGTTCTTCTTCGCAGTAAAGGGACCAAGCGTTTTGACGTAATTGCCCTTGCCCTAGTGGGCTCGATAGTCTCACCCTCTTGTTGAACGGTGCAGACATCGAGGGCCACAGCTACGGGGACCGGATCAAGATCCGACGGTTGAGATTGACCGAAACCAACGGCATTGCGACATAGATGCAATGCTTCATTTAGAGTCATCCCGTAACCCTCGAGCCTGCCCCAAGATTGAACGAGCATAATAATGCATTCATCGTCCCCTTCCTTCAACACTACTACACTGAATTTCTCCGAGCCGATAACCTCGTCTTCGTCGTCATCATCATCATCATCATCATTATTATTAGAGTCCCTGATTGTTGTCTTGTTCATCTTAACGATGAAATTAGTTCTAATCTCGAAGATTATGTTTTTAACTCCAGGATACAAGATGTAGTCTTTGGTATTTGAAAGCATGTCGTTATCAATTGAGAACCGATAATTGTATTCATATCCCACTCGACGACCACCACCACCACCATCCATCGATCGACCGAAGATCTTTAACCTTTATAGATAATATTAATATATATACCTAAGTACAAACAAAAAAATAATAAATAATACATTATCGATTTTGAATCGGGGAAAGATTAAACACAAGCAAAATACGTATTGACGACGTTCGATGAACAAAAATAAGCAAAAATAAGGTCATCAAACAACCATCGATATGATAAATCAAGACGTACCTTACCTTATTGATACGCATAAAACCTACGTATGAAAAACCGCAAGTATACAGTATCGCGTTTTGTAGAATAGTGAATTCTAGATATCGATCCACAGGGAATTAAGTTCCTAAATTTACCAAGTACCGTAATTATAATATCGTAAATTTTATCTACACATACGAAAGAATGGGGGACGAAGCTAAAAAGAAAAGAAACAATAATAAAAACAACGGTCCGCCAGGACAAGCGAGGAATTTCGACGTGTGATGGCTTCTAGGGTAAAATCCACCAGTGTACTATCGATAAACATCTACAGATCCGAATCTAGTGTCAATTCTATGTTCGCTAACCCAGACACTAAAATACTCTAACCCCCGTCTCCAGTGTAGTTAGAGTCTACCCACAAGTCCTACGTCTCCGTTCAAAACCTGATATTAAGAGAGCATTTAGGTCAAGTCCTTAAGGGCTACCCGAGGTGCATCACGTCTCCGTTTCCACAACCCGAGCTATGTTTTCCTAAAATCAAACGAGAAATCCTCTCTCGAGTTCATTCCCATTTACAATCAATTCAACTGTTGGCCAAACAATCGAAAGCATTTAATACAGGAAAACATACACATAATCAAAGAACGACAAATAGATCACAAATCTAGAAATCGAAATCAATATATACAAGGTTTCATTACCCTAAAAGAAAATGCTCAGTTCATTACAAACATAGCATCAAAATGAAGAACACGAGAAATCATAAACTAAACGTAAAGAAAAGATTATGAAAAACCCTCGTCGAAACCCTCGTCGAAGCTTCCCGCGAAGAACTGGCGAAAACCGAAGAAAAATCGAAGAAGTCTTGAGATAGGTCTTTTTATGGTCGAGATCTTCAAAAATGAAGAAGATACCTTCTATTTATAGTAATAAATCAAAGAAAAATATCTCGTCTCGAATTATGTGCCCAAATCGCGATCTGGGTTTCTTGGATCGCGATCTGGCAACCTTGGAAACTGCGCACCGCCTTTCCAGATCGCGATAAGGGAATGGTGGATCGCTATCTGGTTCTTGATCAAAAAATGTACTGTGAGACCCCCCCAGATCGCGATCCAGGAAGGCTGGATCGCGATCTGGGTCCTGATCAAGAAAGCGTTATGTCAGACCCCCCAGATCGCGATACAGCGCGATATGGGCTTCTGCGCCAACTTCAAACACGGTTTTGACCCTGTTTTAGCCCGAAATTGACAATTTTGCATTTCACAAAAGTTGTAGAACTTGAAGTTAGCTTTCTATGGCCACTTAAATCAACTTAATCGGGGGTCGTATGAGAAAGTTATGCTTGAAACACGAAACAGTGCCACAACCCGCGATAATGCACTTTTGCACGTGTTTGGTTTGATTTTCGGCTTCGCTTCCAAAATCGTTTCGAATCGGAAAAAATAGCTTCTCTTTACCTAAAATATAAATAAAACAAAAACAACATAATATATACAAATAAAGCCGAAAAATCGGACGAACGAAGACCAAAACTCGAAGAATTGATAAGTGAAAATCATGCAAAATGAACATTTATCACACCCTCAAACTTAGATCTTTACTCGTCCCGAGTGAATCAAAACAAAACTACAACAAAACGGAATAAAAACACAAACTAAAACTAGGCCACTAACGTAGGGAATCACGATTGCATTTAGCGTATGCAACAAGCCTTTGAACCCCTAGGTACCCCCAAATGACGAGTTGTGTCTCGTGAGGGTTTTCAGACAACACACCCACAAAGTTGCCGGATTGGTCAAAACATTGCAATTAATTCCAAAGATAAAACGAACTAGATAACCTAAATCTCAGAATGGCATACGGCTTACGATATTCGACTTTCCCACCGACGCAATTAGTTGTTTCTACACCAAAATGAAAGATAGACTCAAGAATCCATAATTAAACAATAAACACAATCATCGAGGGTTTTGAGTAGAAATGTGGGTGAAAAGTAAGTTTTGATTCTGAAATTCAAAAACTCGAGTTGGGCATAAGTAGGTCTATTTATTCAATAGAAAAAATGACAACAACAATATTTTTGGTGATTTGCATCACAACTTTTTTTTTTTCAATTTTTTAAACGGGAATAATCGTGACTCGTGCAAGGCTCGATACCGCTGTGTTATCTCTCTGACCCATGTATCGAACTTTAGTCCAAGAAACCCCCAAGCTTGACAGCTCGAGAGACTAGGCGACGAGGTGCACCCAACGGGTTAAGCTCGAGTCGGAAAGACTGGGAAATCAGAGCGTGAATCACAACAATACCATATATTTTTTTGTTTTTCTCTTTTTTTTTTTTTTTTTTAATAACACAATAACATAAAATAAAAACGTAAAGACCATTGATTGAACTTTTAGCCAACAACACGAATTGTGAATACCTAATTCAATTCTAACTCGCC